AGTCTTGGTTGCTAACATGCGTGGCAAAGATTCCTCCCAATACGTGGCCTGTCTTTTCACTTTCTTGATGACGTCTTTAGATGAACAGCACTATTAGTTATAACTAATAACATAAAGGATTCTTTCTCTATTGAAATGTCTTCCATTGTTCTGCTAAGTTCTTTCTTAAATCAGAGTCATAGTGATATTTTTCTGTAATATTCTCTGAAATTTTATAGATTGTAATTGATTTGTTTTTGCATGTGTATGGTGTGAAGAAAAGATTCACATCTATCTTTTTTCCTTCATGAATGGCCAGTAGATTCACTTTTATTGAAAACTCCATCCTTTCCCCTCTCTCCTCAAGTCTTACCTCTATCAACAATCCTGTATCCACATATATGTGGAATTATTTCTAAATTCCTTATTTGGTACACTGGTCTCCTTTTTTATCTCTTTGACAATTTTCTTCTTGTTATCCTAGATTTCAGTCCTTTTACTACAAGGGATCTATGGTCAAAGACCAGAGGTAGCCTATGGGATAATAAAAATATTTGGTCCCCAAGCCATTAGGATCTCCTGAGTGATAATAGTGTCTCTGATATGTTAATGAGGTGACTTGGGTGAGGGTCCTAGATAGCTTCACGTTGGGACTGGTGACCAGGAGGACCAAACCACGATTACAGAGTTAGAGACATCGGCCTCACTCACCAACCTCTGGGGAGAGGCACTGGAGGCTGACCTCCATCACCGATGGTCGATGGCCAGTGAATGAATCATGCCTATGTCATGAACCTTCCATGAAAACTTCTCAACAACAGGGTTCACAGAGCTTCTGAAATGACAAACACATTTGAGGGTGGCACATTCCAACTCCACAGTGACAGAAGCTCCTGCACTGGAACCTTCACACTCCCACACTCCTGTACCTCCTTATCTGGCTGCTCATATGTATCCTTATAATAAACCATAAGAGTAAGCAGAAAATTTTCCTGAGTTTCTAGGAGTCATTCTAGAACTTTGAGGGTTCTAGAGGTACCCCCACTCTGTAGCCAACTTGAAGAAAAGTGCAGGTGACATGAATAGCTGATAGTTGAGACTTGCTCATGAGCTGTGGGCAATCTTGAAGGATGAATCCTTACACCTGTGGGTTCCATGCTCACTCCAGGTCGACAATGTCAGAACTGAAATGAACTGGAGCACCTGGGTGGCTCAGTCACTTAGGAATCTGCCTCATGTCATGATCTTGGGGTCCTGGGATCGACCTGAAGTGGGCTCCCTGCTCAGTGGGAAGTCTGCTTCTCCCTCTCCCTCTGCCACTCCCCTATGTGTTCTCTCTCTGTCTCCTCAGGTGGAGGAATAAATCTTCACCACTCCACAAGGAGAAATTCAGAGTAAGAGCAAGCAAGTAAACCTGTACCTCATCTTACAAGAGCAAAGGATAAGGCAGAAGCATTCCTATCATGTCCTTCTGTCTGCAACCAGATGCTCATGGTCCTGTTAGCAGGCCCAAAATGAAGTCATTTATGCTAAACACCACCAAGAACTTAATACTTAACCTAACTGCAGCTTCAGCTTCTCCCAGAAATGTGACCTATAATCAGCCACCAGAAGTTCCTGGTCAGCACTGGAGGGATGCCACTGAAAGACCACTTCCTTTCTCCTTAGCAGGGCCACCTTGCTTACAACAAGGCATTTTTTTTTTTTTTTTACCAATAGTTTCCTTTTCTCCATTCCCCTATGCCTTTAAAATACTTTCCTTTCTGCAGCTAGAAGAGGTTCCTTGCGATTTGCTAGCTGGGCAGCTGCCCAATTCATGAACCATTGAATAAACCCCCCTTTTCATTTTCTCAGTCAAACTGTTGTGAATGAACAGTTCAGACTTTGAGGGACACTATAGCTACACTAGAAAACCAGGCTGGTGCTCTGAGTTCTTTCACTGTTTGGTTTTTCATCCTTGGCAAGCAGTCACATAAAAGCTGATAGATGTTAAGAGATTCTCTCCCCAGGATGTCGCCAGGCACAAGGAAATATAAATGTCAGCATGACACATTGGTACTCACACAGACCCATTGAAGTCTTACAGACCTGGGTGTTCTCCTCCTTGCAAGGAGCCAAAGGCAGGGCAAACACATCCTGAGTCATCATGCCACCAGCCCACAACACCATTGCATGTATCTCTGAGCGAACACTGGAGTGGACAAAAGCTGGATCTAATCATGTAGTACCAAGGGAATTAGAAGACAGGTGTCATTTATTAGACACTTGTTCCTTCGGTCAAACCTGAGTGCCTACAAAGCACACCAGATCAAGTTTCAGCCTCAGATCTGTGCTCCAAGAATGGCAATTAGTCATTCTTTCTCCATCCCTCACCCCAACTGCCTTCCTACATGAGGAGAATTCCAAATTTAGGGTCTTTAGAAGAGACCGCCTCTCTCCACAGAGGAGGAAGTCCTATTTTCCCAACATCCTTCTAGTTACACACAGCATGAGACTCCACCAAACAGGTGACAACACGCTGGCCCTGACTCACAACCTGGGGACAGAGAGAAGCTGCCACTATGCAGAAGGCATGTGCATAGGTGGCAGGAGTGGCAGTGTGTCATCCAGTCCCACAAGCAGCAGCTATGGCAGTCCCAGCCAAGGGAGCCAGTGTCCTGGATTAACTGAGTCAGTGGTGTGAGCAGTGACAACTGTGCCCAGCAGCAGAAGCCATGGTTCCTGTGTGAGACCTAGTTTACTGTGCAATTGTGGATTCTGTTCCTGGCTGTGTAGCCTAAGCCTGTGTTATGATCTTCCCCCAAACAATATTTTATATACATAGAAGACATAGATAAGTATGTATGTAGCCCCTATCCTTCGTCTAAGTTCAAGAAAAGTTGGATTCCATTCTTTGCTCCAAGAAATCAATCAGAGGAATAGTTGCAGAGAACAAGCATTCAGAGATGTTTGTCATATTGAACTGTGAACCGCTCCCTAATCCTCCCACCTGACCATATCCCATGATAAAACAATGCCACATATCTCACAACAGCACATCTCATACTGACAACAAATGCCTTGTCTCTATGAGGGGAAAAAGTCCACATTTAAAAGAAATTTGAATGCCCTCCCCACCCAGGCTTGCTCTGATCATGGATTGCAGTGGTTCCCGCTGAGCACTAGGATCAAACACTAGGATCACTCATGCAGCTTCTCACAAAATGCACAGGCCTCTCCCCAGACTCAGAGACTCAGAGTATTAGGCACAAGATCAAGGAATTGCCTATTTAATAAGCCCTACAGGTAAGGCTGATGCACAGCCACATGGGAATCTTAATGTATATTCCTGCTGTTAAAAGTATGATGTGAAGACTAGCAGCAGAGTAGCACCTCGTGAAAAACACAGAACTTCACCCATACTTCCCAGATGCAAAACGTGGCGTGTCATGTATCTGTCACACAACACACACCAGTGAAGGAGTGACCGGTGTAGCATCTCCCTATTCCAGAGTCAGTATCTTTGCTAATGCAGCCTCAGACCACATCTGCTCTGGGGCAGCTCCAGCACCGTGACCTATCAGGCTGCCAGCAGCACCTCTATACTTCTCTCACCATGCTATCCCTCCTCCCTCCCTCCCCACTCTCACAGCACCTCTCCTGCACCCCACGTACATTCCATTTTCAAAAAACAACCACCCTTGACTCACAAGTGCTATTTCCCAACCGAAGAGAAACCAAGGAGACTCTGCTTCATAACACCTTGACTTTGGATTGGAGCCAGCACAGGATCACTAGGGCAGAGCACAGGCAAGCAGGGGATGGAAACACAACAAGAACTGATTTTAAATGAGAAATTACAGCATGCTTCCTGTCTGCCAATCCAGTATCTGTTCCTCTGAGAAGACTGGGGAAATGATGGAAAGAACAATCGAGCCCTAGAAGGAGGATAAGACTTGAATGAGTCTGAAAATAACCTCTGGATACACAGATGCCTGTGCACAGGGGCTGCCCTGGGCCTTGTGGAGATACTGACGGCCAACCACCTCCTGCTGCTGTCAGACAGGAGACCCCCAAAGATGAATGAGGCCAGAACTCCCACAGGAACATGAGAAGAGGACTGATCCTCTACAGACACACAGAAACAGCAAATAAACACCAAGAGCTGGGGCTGAGAGCCCAAACCCAGGCCCAATCCTAGGCTGACCCTGCCACACAACATTGATGCCCATGGTCCCGGAGGCAGGACAAGGTCTGGGTGATGCCCAAGTCTCTATGATCACAGGTCCTGGAAGGACAGGTTCTACTGGAGGGACAAGGACAAAACAGCAGAGAGAGTCCTCAGCTGAGTGACCATGTCACACCCTTGCTGCACTGAGCACCAAGTGGACATGAGACTCCTCCATACTAGGCTCCTCACAGCGTCTCCTGTCCTTACATAGAGTAGACACAGTACACCAAATCTGCAAGTTCTGGAAGAGTCTCAGTGCTCCCATTTACTCCCTCTCTCAAACTTTAGGAATCTTCTCCTTTCAGATCAGATCTGACTAACTGATCAGCTCCTCATGACAAGAACTGGAAAAAACAATTTCACATCCACAGTCCTATGTTCAATAAGGAAGTAAGAAGTTGTAGCTCGGTGTAACATAAAGACAGGGATGGAGATGACCCACCGTCCCTCAGCTGCAACACAAAAGCAACACAAAAGCAGAACACAGGTCTGTCGGGGGGAGGGGAGTCACGTGGGGAGGGAGCCAGTCTGCCCACCTCCTCACATTATGTTAATAGGAACATATTTCAGACACATTCAGACATGCCCTTTGCAGAAAGAGAAATCAGGGTGTTGACGTCACAAGGTGGGAAAGTGAACAAATCCTGCATCACTCAGTCCCCCACGAGGCAGCTGGTTCACACTATGAAATAAAATAATCATGAACAGATTTGGGTCAGTCATATACATGCTGACTTTCTCAACAGCTCAGCACATGCTCAAAATATCCTACTCAAAGAATCCCCACTACCCAATCACGGCCCAGTCCCCTCCCCACTCCCCCCTTCAGGCCCTCCAAGGTCTCACCAGTAGAAGCAGAGAGAGAGCCCTGGGCACTGTCACTGCCTGGGGCAGAACAGATAGAATGTGGTCAGAGCCAGAGGAGATGAGACCAAAGGAGGAGCTAGTGGGGGGGGGGTGCCAAGCTCCCCATGGGGTCCTGTCTATACCACCCCGGGGTTTCAGGGATCACCCCCTCCATACTCATGTGCAGCCTCAGCATAATCCTTCTTCCACCTGTGGAAAGAAAACATCACATGAGATGCCATGGAGAAGGCATGGCCTGAGATCCTAGGTGAAACTCATAGCCTGGACCACACGGAAGTTTCCAAAACTTTAACTATAGACCTATGGAAGAATCAGGGACATGAAGAAAAAAGATAGCAGGATGAGACCAACCATTCTCCTGGAGTCTGTCCTCAGCAAGGACCTTGCTCTCTGACCTGTGACCACTGGAGATCAGATTCCATCACCACATTCAACAGGAGGGATGAGTTTGTCCTTCACTCTCACATGTGCTTTACTACACAGTGAATGTAGCAATGAGTTGCACAATGGAGTGGACAAGCACATGTGTGCGGGTAGCACTTCCCCTAAATGAGATAGGACAAACTTCTACCTGGGCTTGAAACACTGAGAAAACTCAGAGCATCCCCTCCGTACCTGAGATCTACTTCCTCCACAGGACAGCTCCAGCCACCATAGCACCAGAAACCACAAAGACAAGCAGACCAGCAACGATGCCCATGATGGGGATGGTGAGCCGAGGAGGGGACTCTGGGAAGAGAGGATGAGGTGAGGGCCTTGCCCCCCAGGTCTCACCCTCAACTCTACTGAAGTTCTACCACAAGGGCTCCTGATTTCCTTACCCCATCTCCGGGTGACAGGCTCCGCCAGCCCCTCATGCTGCATGTGGCACGTGTATCTCTGCTCCTGTCCAGAGGGCACCACCACAGCCACCCACTTCTGGAAGGTCCCATCTCCTGCAGGCCTGGTCTCCACAAGGTCTGTGTCCTGGGTCTGGTCCTCCCCATCCCACTTGGCAGGTCAGGGTGATCTCCGCAGGGTGACCTCACAGTCAGAGAAGGGGTGGTGGGTGAGAGTGCCTTTGGGGGATCTGAAGAGAAGGGTCAGAAAATTCAGGAACTTAGGGAGGAGTTAAGATGGCAGAGGAATAGGAGACCTTAACTTCATCTGGTCCCTGGAATACAGCTAGATATTTATCAAATCATTCTGAAAACCTGAGAATTAGATCGGAAATCTGAGAAAAGAAATGCTGCAATTGTACAAGTAGAAAAGCAACCACTTTGTGGGAGGTAGGAAGTGCGAGGACCCAAATCCAGGGTGAAATATCAAAAGATACAGCAGAGGGAAGGGCGCTGCCTACAGGGGCTACTGCAAAGCATTGTATGCAGCGGGAGCACAAAATCAGAACTTCTAGAAGTCTCTACAGTGGGGAGTCCCTGGGTTAAAGGGACTCAGGCGGCGATGGAGGCAAAATCCCAGGTGGGACAGCAGGGTCTCAGGATGAAGAATGGGGGTGTCTGAGCACAGCAGGTCCCAGGCACCCACTGGGGAAGCCAGCTGCGATCAGCGAGTTTTGGTGCCGGGTTTCTGCTCAGTGTGGCCATGAACCACAAACCGCTACACAGTCAGGCAAACTGCTCTCCGAGCAGGGGCCCAGCAGGTGGGAGAAGCACAGCTATACCCCTCTTCCTTCCTGGGGAGGAACTGCATGGGTCCACACAGCGGGAGTGTGTCAGGTTTGGCGTCTTAAAACTCAGTCGCCTGCCTGAGATAAAAATGCAGTTGGGCAGCCCCGGTGGCTCAGCAGTTTAGTGCCGCCTGCAGCCCAGGGTGTGATCCTGGAGACCCGGGATCGAGTCCCACGTCCGGCTCCCTGCGTGAAGCCTGCTTCTCCCTCTGCCTGTGTCTCTGCCTCTTTCTCTCTCCTCTCTGTGTATTCTCATGAATAGATAAATAAAATCTTTTTTTAAAAAAATCCTCAGTCACAGGCTAGGTGAACACCTGGGAGACAAGGTGATCAACTGCTTTTCATGAGGGCTCACTGAAGAGTGCGGGTGTGAATTTTCAGCTCCAAGACTAGAGAGCAGGATGCAGCCCTATTCATCCTGCTCATGAGAGCCGAAAGCCTTCAGGGTGCAAAACAGGGCCACTTAGTGGAATCCAGAGCCACTTACACTGAGCTCGGCCTCTGTGCAAGAGAAGTGCACTTCCCCGGGGGCAAAGTCCACCTGAGGATCAGCGCAGCAGGACCCTCCCACAGAAGACCAGCACAACCAGCGGGCACCAGGTTTACTGATCAGAGCAGACAGCAAAGCTTCAGCTCTCAAGGAAAACAGTATATACCATTTATGGTTTTTTTTTTATTCTCTAGTCTTTCAGTATTATTTTCAGTTATTTTCCTATTTTTTCAATTCTTTTTTATTCTTTAATTTTTATTTTCATATACGCATTATATATTTTTATTTTGTTTCCTTTTGTTGAATTTTATTTTTGTGTATATATATATATATATACATATACATATATATATAAATGTTTCTTATTTTGGGATCTAGTTTCTTTTATTTATTTAATTTTTTGTAAGGTTTTATTTTTTATTCATGAGAGACACAGAGAGGCAGAGACATAGGCAGAGGGAGAAGCAGGCTCCCTGAAAGGAGCCCAGTGCAGAACTTGATCCCTGGACCCCAATATCATGCCCTGAGCCAAAGGCAGATGCTCAACCACTGAACCACCCAGCCATCACCGAGATCTAGTTTCTTTTATAAGCAGACCAAAACACACTCAGGGGATGCCTCAGGGATAAGAGTTCCTTAACCTACAAGGGTAGACACATAAGGCTGACAGCAGTCCTGTCCACAGAAACTGGACAAGCCAGAAAGAGCTGGCATGATATATTCAATGTGCTAAATGGGAAAAATATGCAGCCAAGAATATTTTATCCACCAAGGCTGTAATTCAAAATAGAAGGAGAGATAAAGAGTGTCCAGGAAAAATAAAAACTAGAGGAATTTGGGATGCCTGGGTGGCTCAGTGGTCGAGTGTCTGCCTTTGGCTCAGGGCATGATCCTGGAATCCCAAGATTGAGTACCACATTGGGCTCCCTGCATGGAGCCTATTTCTCCTCCCTCTGCCTGTGCCTCTGCCTCTCTCTGTGTGTCTCTCATGAATAAATAAATAAAATCTAAAAAAAAAAAAAGAGAAAAGAGAAATTTGTGAATACTAAATCAGCCCTGCAAGGAATATTAAAGGGGATCCTTTGAGTGAAGGGAGAGCCCGAAAGTAACAAAGATCAGAAAGGAAAAGAGACAATTTATAGGAATAGCGACTTTACAGGTAATAGAATAGCACTAAATTCATATCTTTCAAAATTACTCTGAACGTAAATGGACTAAATGCTCCAATCAAAAGACACAGGGTATCATAATGGATTTAAAAAAAAAATACAAGACCCATCAATATGCTGCTTACAAGAGACTCATTTTAGACTCATTTAGACCCAAAGACACCTCTAGATTGAAAGTGAGGAGGTGGAGGGATGCCTGAGGGTGGCTCCGCGGTTAAGCATCTGCCTTTGGCTCAGGGCGTGATCCTGGGGTCCTGGGATTGAGTCTCGCATTGGGCTCCCTGCATGGAGCCTTCTTCTTCCTCTGCCTGTGTCTCTGCCTCTCTCTCTGTGTCTCTCATGAATAAATAAATAAAATCTTTTTTAAAATACCAAAGAAATACAAACAATTATAAGAACATATTATGAGCAACTACATGCCAACAAATTAGGCGATCTGGAAGAAATTGATGCATTCCTAGAAACATATAAACTACCAAACTGAAACAGGAATAAATAGAAAACCTGAACAGACCCATAACCAGGAAAGAAATTGAAGAAGTAATCAAAAATTCCCAACAAAGAAGAGTCCAGGGCCGGATGACTTCCCAGGGGAATTCTACCAAACATTTAAAGAAGAATTAATATCTATTCTTCTAAAGCTGTTTCAAAAAATAGAAATGGAAGGAAAACTTGCAAACTCATTCTATGAGGCCAGCATTACTTTGATCCCATAACCAAACAACGGCCTCACTAAATAGGAGAATTACAGGTCAATATCCCTGATGAACATGGATGCAAAAATTCTCACCAAGATACTAGCTGATAGGATCCAACAGTACATTAAAAGGATTATTCACCACAACCAAGTGGGATTTATCACTGGACTGCATAGGTGGTTCAACTTCCACAAATTAATAAAAGAAAGGAAAAGAATCATATGATCCTGTCAATATATGGAGAAAAAGCGTTTGACAAAATACAGAATCCTTTCTTTTTTAAAAAAATATTTTATTATTTATTCATGGAAGACAAACAGAGAGAGAGGCAGAGACACAGGCAGAGGGAGAAGCAGGCTCCCTGCAAGGAGCCTGACATGGGACTCGATCCTGGGTCTCCAGGATCACATCCTGGGCCGAAGGCAGTGCTAAACCGCTGAGCCACCCAGGCTGTCCCAGCATCCTTTCTTGATTAAAAACTCTCCACCATGTAGGTATCAAGGGAACATATCTCAATATCATAAAAGCCATATGAAAGACCCACAATGATTATCATCCTCAAGGGGGAAAAACTGAGAGCTTTTCCCCTAAGGTCAGGAACAAAACAGGGATATCCACTCTCACCACTGCTGTTCAACACAGTACCAGAAATCCTAGCCTCAGCGATGAGACAACGAAAAGAAATAAAAGGCATCCAAATTGGCCAGGAAGTCAAACTTTAACTCTTCACAGATGAGATGATACTCTATGTAGAAAACCCAAGAGACTCTACAAAAAATAGCTGGATCTGTAACAGAAATTCAGCAAAGTCACATGATATAAAATTGATGCATAGAAGTCAATTGCATTTCTATACACTAACAAAGAGGTAGAAGAAAGAGAAATCAAAGAATCGATCCCATTTACAGTTGCACCAAAAACCATAAGATACCTAGGAATAAATCTAACCAAAGTGGTAAAAGATCTGCACTCTGAAAACTGTAGAACACTTATGAAAGAAATTGAGAAGAGATAAAGAGATGGAAAAATGTTCCATGCTCATGGATTAGAAGAACAAATACAGTTAAAATGTCTATGCTACCCAGGACAATCCACTCATTTAATGCAATCCCTATCAAAATACCATCAGCATTTTTCACAGAGCCAGAGTAAATAATCCTAAAATTTGTATGGAACCAGAGAAGACCCTGAATAGCCAAAGCAATGTTGAAAAAGTAAATCAAAGCTGGAGTCGTCATAATTCCAGACTTCAAGTTATATTACAAAGCTGTAATCATCAAGAAAGTATGGTACTGGCACAAAAACAGACACAGAGATCATTGGAACAGAATAGAGAATCCAGAAATGGACCCTCAATTCTATGGTCAACTCATCTTTGACAAAGCAAGAAAGAATCCCCAAGGAAAAAAACAGTCTCTTCAACAAATGGCATTGGGAAAATTGGATAGCCACATGCAGAAGAATGAAATTGAACCACTCTCTTACACTATACACAAAAATAAAATTTATCAAAGACCTAAATGTGAGACAGGAACTCCTCAAAATCCTAGAGAACACAGACAGCAACTCTTTGACCTCAGCCACAGCAACTTCTTGCTAGACTGTCTCCAAAGGCAAACAAAACCAAATGAACAATTGGGACTTCACCAAGATAAAAAGCTTTTGCACAGCAAAGAAAACAATCAACAAAACTAAAAGGCAACCTACAGAATGGGAGAAGATATTTGCAAATGACATATCAGACAAAGGGTTAGTATCCAAGAGCTAAAGAAACTTATCAAACTCATAAACAAAAATCCAGGTAAGAAATGGGCCAAAGACATGAACAGATATTTCTCCAAAGAAGACATACAAATGGCCAACAGACACATGAAAAAATGCTCCACATCACTCAGCATCAGGGAAATACAAATCAAAATCACAATGAGATACCACCTCACATCAGTCAGAATGGCTAAAATTAACAACTCAGGAAATAATAGATGTTGTCATGGATGCAGAGAAAAGATGTCTCCTACTGTTGGTGGGAATGAAAGTTGGAGCAGCCACTCTAAAAAACAGTATGGAGGTTCCTCAAAAAGGTAGAACTAGAACTACCCTACTACCCAGCAATTGCACTACTAGGTATTTATCCAAAGAATACACACATAATGATTCCAAGGGGTACATGCACCCCAATATTTATAGCAGCAATGTCCACAACAGCCAAACTATTTAGTGAGCCCAGATGACCATAACAGATGAATGGATAAAGAAAATGTGGTACATATATACAATGGAATATTACTTAGCCATCAAAAAGAATGAAATCTTGCCATTTGCAATTATGTGGATGAACTAGAGAGTATTATGCTAAGTGAAATAAGTCCATCAGAGAAAGACAAATATCATATGATTTCACTCATATGTGGAATTTAAGAAACAAAACATAAACACAGGTGAATGGAAGGAAAAATGAAATAAGATGAAATCAGAGAGGGAGACAAACCATAAGAGTCTCTTAACTCTTGGGAAACAAACTATGAGTTGCTAAAGCAGAGGTTGGTGGGGGGAAAGGATAACTGGGTGATGGGCATCATGGAGAGCAGGTACTGTAATGAGTACTGGGTGTTATACACAATTGATGAATCATGTAAATTCTTTTTTTTTTTTTGAATCATGTAAATTCTATCTCTGAAACTAATAATACAGCATATGTTAACTAAACTGAATTTAAGTTTAAAATTTATTTTAGGGATCCCTGGGTGGCGCAGCGGTTTGGCGCCTGCCTTTGGCCCAGGGCGTGATCCTGGAGACCCGGGATCGAATCCCACGTCGGGCTCCCGGTGCATGGAGTCTGCTTCTCCCTCTGCCTATGTCTCTGCCTCTCTCTCTCTCTCTGTGTGACTATCATAAATTTAAATAAATAGGGCAGCCCCAGTGGTGCAGTGGTTTAGCGCCGCCTGCAGCTTGGGGTGTGATCCTGGAGACCGGGGATCAAGTCCCACGTCGGGCTCCCTGCATGGAGCCTGGTTCTCCCTCTGCCTGTGTCTCTGCCTCTCTCTCTTTCTCTGAATAAATAAATAAATCTTAAAAAAATTTTTTAAATAAATAAATAAATAAAATAAAATAAAATTTATTTTAGGGATCACTGGGTGGCTCAGCGGTTTAGCACCTGCCTTTGGCCCAGGGCGCGATCCTGGAGACCTGGGATCAATCAAATCCCACGTCGGGCTCCCGGTGCATGGAGCCTGCTTCTCCCTCTGCCTGCGTCTCTGCCTCTCTCTCTCTCTCTCTCTCTCTGTGACTATCATAAATAAAAATTTAAAAAAAAAAAAAAAAAAGAAAGAAATGGTCTCCTCCTCCATCCCTGGAGGGAATGTGACCTTAATGGTCCTTAGGAGAAAGGCAGACCCTTAGGGCCACTCTCTGGTACCGGATCTGAAAACCTAGGCAGAGTTAGTCTCTCCATCCATGACCCATGGGAGGGCCATATACTGGTGTGGATTCTATTTCTTCCTATCCTCTCCCGAGGCCTCAGCCTGAGGCGAGATTCCGGAGGCCGCGCCCCAGTACCTGCGCGCAACAGCGTCTCCTTCCCCATCTCCAGGTACCTCCGCAGCCCCTCCACGCACGTCATCTCCAGGTAGTTCCTCAGGTGCTCTGCATCACCTGCCGCCTCCCACTTGCGCCGGGTGATCTGCGCCGCCGTGTCCGCCGCGGTCCAGGAGCGCAGGTCCTCGTTCAGGGCGATGTAATCGGCGCCGTCGTAGGCGTCCTGCATGTACCCGCGGAGGAGGCGCCCGTCCGGCCCCAGGTCACAGCCGTACATGGTCTGGATGGTGTGAGACCCTGGCCCTGCCCCGACAGGCCGCCACTCAGTCCAAAGAGAAAGTAAAACCTCCCGGGAGTTCCCGCGGGTTCGGGACGGACGAGGGGGAGGGGCGGGGACCTCGGACTCGGGGTGACGCCCGGACCCGGACACTCGGGGCGACCCCGGCCGGTCGGCGGGGAGGGGGGTCGTGCCCTGGCCCCGGCCCGCGTCGCTCACCGGCCTCGCTCTGGTTGTAGTAGCCGCGCAGGGTGTCCAGGTCCACTCGGTACACCTGTGCGGTCTCCTTGAAGATCCGCGTCTCCCGGTCCCAATACTCCGGCCCCTCCTGCTCCACCCACGGCGCCCGCGGCTCCGTCCTCCCAGTGGCCGCGTCGCTGTCGAACCGCACGAACTGCGTGTCGTCCACGTAGCCGACGGCGATGAAGCGGGGGTCCCCGCGGCCGGGCCGGGACACGGACGTGTAGACATACCTCAGGGAGTGGGAGCCTGCGGAGCGGAGGGGCTGAGACCCCGCCCGACCCCCCTCCCGCCGCGGGGCCCGGGGCCCGGGGGGAGATCCCGGGGGGGGGGCAGGGCGGAGGCGGGAGGGACGGGGGAGCCCAGGCCGCGGGGGGCCGGGGGCGGCGGGGAGGCGGCTTCCCGGGGTCCCCTCGCTCCCGCCCGCACTCACCCGCCCGGGTCAGGGTCACGGCCAGGGCCGCCCGAAGGCAGCAGGGGGCCCCGCGCATCACGACTCGCATCCTTGGGGTTCCAGAGACTCTAAGAGCCGGCAGGGGTGGCCCCACAGGCCGGAAACCCCGGTGACGCCGACGGGCTCCTCTAGAACCCCGCCACCCAATGGGAGTGCGAGCTGGGGCCAAGTCCCGAGCATCCAGGCGGGAGGCCCTGAGGCAGGTTGGGAGAGGGAAGAGAGGCGCGCGGGGCACGGAACTGGGCTTCCCCGCCCCCAGACACCGCTCTGGGTCTTCCCGGAGACCCAGGACTTTGCCCGGATTCCCCGCCACCTGCACGGAGCGCTCTCTCACTGTCTCCCTGAGGCCGGGCCGGCGGTCCTTCTGAGGAAACCAGGGACAGACACCAGGCAGGGATCAGCCCCTTTTTGTCCCTTACGTTTGTGGAAACCCTCGACTTGAGCTGAACTACTCCTTACTTCTCCGTACTCTTCTGAAAGAAAAATCACCGCCAGGAAACTGGATGCCAGATAGTGAGCTCGCCTGGGAATGGAGATGGAGAGCCAGGGATTTTCTCTTCAAACCTGAAGTTGTGGGCACCTGGGCGGCTCAGTGGTTGAGCTTCTGCCCGTGGCTCAGGTCGTGATCCCTGGAGTCTTGGGATCAAGGCCCGAATAGGGAGCCTGTGTCTCTGCCTCTGTGTGTCTCTCATGAATAAATAAAATCTTTAAAAATAAACAAAACAATCTTCATTCCATAGCCCCAAATTTCTGTGTGAGTTCCCCTCATATCCTCAATACATGGAAGCATGGTTTGATTCTATACATTTCGATCAGGAGCATGTACAAACTTGAAGCACCTCAGATTTGCAATGTTCCATGCATTCAAATGCCCTTCGCCAGTGCTCCTGCATTGCCTCCTTTTATGCATTATTCACATCTAAGCAGTGCACATATTTTATCTAGACATTTTTTAAGCTGATTTGCATAAGGAGGCAACTGATTTTCAGGCAGCCCCACAGAATATAGTAAATTCTAGATGCAAAAAATATCTTGCTAAGACCTGGAAATAGAGATTCCATTTTTAAAAAGGCTGTATAACAACGTATTTAAATGTGAGGATTCCACTGCTGTAAAACTGGTCACCTCTGCTTCTCTCCCTCCACCTGGGTCTGCAGCCCTTCTCTCCATCTCTCATCAATTAGGGCCCCTCATCCCGAGTCTCCACCCCCTCTCACTCCTGATTGGGGCCCTGCTGCCACTCCCAACACTTGCTACCCTAGGGCCACTCTCGCCACCTGGGACAGACAGCGATCCTGCTATGAATCAGGTTGTGTCATTTCATCACTGAAAATGCTTCAGGGCTCTATTATTTTTAAAGATTTTATTTGTTTATTTGAGCTAGAACACACACACAGGTAGGGTAAAGAGCAGAGGGAGAAGCAGGCTCCCCCCTGAGCAGGGAGCCCAACTTGGGGCTCCATCCCAGGACCCTGAGATCACTTGAGCCAAAAGCAGACACTTAACCAACTGAGCCACTCAAACGCTCCTCCATCTCACTTAGGAAGCCTCTAGAGGGACACCTGGGTGGTTCAGAGGTTGAGCGTCTGCCGGTGGCTCAGGTCCTGATCCTCCGGTCCTGGGATCAAGTTCCACAGTGGGCTCCCCACAGGGAGCCTGCTTCTCCCTCTGCCTGTGTCTCTCTGCCTCTCTCTGTGTGTCTCTCATAAATAAAATCTTTAAAAGAAAAAAGAAGTACTGGAAGGGCTCCTGGGTGGCTCGGTCAGTTAGGCATTCAACTCTTGATCTCGGCTTGGATCTTGGTCATGAGTTCAACCTCCATGCTGGGCATGAAACATACTTTTTAAAAAATAAAAAAGTCCTGGGATCCCTGGGTGGCGCAGCGGTTTGGCGCCTGCCTTTGGCCCAGGGCGCGATCCTGGAGACCCGGGATCGAATCCCACGTCGGGCTCCCAGTGCATGGAGCCTGCTTCTCCCTCTGCCTGTGTCTCTGCTTCTCTCTCTCATTCTATGTGACTATCATAAATAAATAAAAATTAAAAAAAAAATAAAAAATAAAAATAAAAAAGTCCTGAAAAGAAATAGGAAAATAAAATGTTTCTTTTCGGTTTTTCTGGGCACTGTCATCAAGGAGCTGGAGAGAGGGGTCACAGTGGAGAAGCAGAAACCCGATGAATGACTCAAGGCTCCTACCTCTCCTCTCCTTCAATCCTTGCCGCATTCCTGATCTTGACACCTGTGGAGTCCAGGGCTGTTCAGAAGCTCCTTTGTGGCAGTATTGATGATGCCCAAGCTCCAGGTCAGCCTCCCCTGAGCAACTTACAGCCCAGACCCTCCCAGGCTGCTCAGTCAGAATTCAGGAGCAACGCAGCGGCGCCCCCGTGTGGTCACAGGGATGAGGTTGGAAGACCAAGTTCTCCTTTCTCTTGCACAGCAAGGACCTCCCAGGGTCTCCCTCTGCTCCCAACACCAGATCAGGGCTTTGAACACAAAAGGCTGCCCCTGTCCATGTCAGGCTGGGTTGCAAAATGTTCCCCCAAAACCACAATAACATAGATGTTTCCTTTGCATGATCACTGATTCTGCCCTCAGGGGCAAGGTCTCCAGGCAATCACAGCTGGTTCCCAGATCTGGTATGGACCGCACAAAGAAATTGAGTGCCCTGTCTCCAAAGATAGGACCTAGGGCTCCTAAGTTCCTGTCACTTCTTTCTGCTGCTGCCTCTGGGGCTGGACTCAGTTCAGTAAGTCTGAGAACATAGCATGAAGGATGAGGGGCAGAAGCCCACAGTGCATTGGGTCTAGAAAAGGGAGGATGCTCCTGGGGAGTGAGGCTAGGGTGTAAATAAGAACATGAGAGGGGAAGAGCTTCCAAGGAGGGAAGGAGTCAGGGAGAAGAGGAGCATGGGAAGGGCTGGTCTAAGGGACACCTGTTTACATGGAGAGGGCTCTCTGGGTCCTGGACCAGAGTGAAGGGCAGATGCGGTACCAGCCCTATAGGGACCACCAACCCTGGGTTTTCAAGGTCCCACTCTGTGTTAGTACCTTATGACCATGGCTGAGCACACTTCAGTCGTCAGCCTTCAGTTGTTCCTTCCTCCTCTATGGCAAGCAGAGCCTCCCCACCAAGCTGAGGATCCCCTCAGCTGAACATGTAGTGTGGGCTGGACACTGATGTGGACTACAAGGACCTCAGTAACAGGACCCAGGGTACTGACCACCCATTTCCCAGCAGTCCCTACACCCTCCATAAATCACTGCCGAGGAGTCTGCATGCTTCCTCTCTGGTAACCCAAGCACCCTGAGAGTGGACCCCTCAGGCCCTGTTCTCTGCTACTCTCAACCCCTGAACTTAGAAACTCATGCTACATCCCCAGTCCCAAATCTCATTTCTACCCTAACCACTGACCCAACACTATGGCGGTGCTATAGACTTTATGTGCCCCACCCAGATACACATGTTGAAATATAATCCTCAGTATGATGGTATTAGAAGTTGAGGCTTTTGGGAGTGATATCATGAGTAGAGCCCTCATCAATGGGTTTAGAGTCCTTATAAGAGACTCCAAAGAGTATGTTAAGCCACTCGATCTGTGATATTTTGTGATGAATACCCAAGCAGACTAAGACAATCTCCAAAACCAAACACCGCGAAGCTCTTTCAGTTTCAGACCCACTTTAAGTGGCCACAGCATGTATTCATTTATTCACAAATATTTAGGGAGTGTCTGTGCAGGGCATGATTTTAGGCCTGGTTATCATTTAATCAAGAGAAAAAATGCCTACTCTCCTGATGCTTACAGTCTGATAGGAAAGACGGACAATAAAAATAGTAGCATTATTATGGTATTATATAGTATGCATTCCTGTTACCTATTGCTGGCTGGGTAACAATCCCAAAATAAAACTACCTTTTTATTAGCGGTCATTCTATGCATTGACTGGGCTCAGCAGGCAGCTCTTCTGCTCCATCTGACATGGTCTGTGGCTATTGTCATCTGGAGGCTCACCCTCATTCAAGAGGGTTCTCTCATAAGTCAGTGCTGTCAACAGCTGGGAGCCTTCTAGGGCTACTGGCACGGAGCCACCCAGGGATCCCATACCACATCTTCTGTATCCATTCATCTGTTGGACATCTGGGCTCTTTCCATAGTTTAGCTATTGTGGACATTGCTGCTATAAACATTGGAGCGCAGGTGCCCCTTCAGATCACTACGTTTGTATCTTTGGGGTAGATACCTAGTTATGCAATTGTTGGGTTGTAAGGTAGGTCTATTTTCAACTTTCTGAGGAACCTCCTACTGTTTTCTAGAGTGGCTGTACCGGCTGTACTCCCACCAACAGTACTCTCTTTCTCCACATCAGCACCAACACTTATTGTTTCTTGACTTGTTAATTTTAGTCATTCTGACCAGTGTTAGGTATATCCCATTGTGGTTTTGATTAAAAAATTTGTTAAATACACCTAACCTACCAAACACAGTAGCTAAGTCTAGCCTACCTTAAACACACACTCAGAACACTTACGTTATCTTAGAGTTGGGCAAAATTACCTCACACAAAGCCAATTTTATAATCAAGTGTTGAGGGGCATTTGGCTGGCTCAACCAGAACACGGGACTCTTATTCTTGGGGTTGTGAATTTGAGCCCCATGTTGGGTGTAGAGATTACTTATATAAATAAAAACTTTTTAGGGACTGCTGGGTGGCTCAGCAGTTGAGCATCTGCCTTTGGCTCAGGGCATGATCCTAGGGTCTTGGGATTGAGTCCCGCATCAGATCCCAGTGGGGAGCCTGCTTCTCCCTCTGCCTATGTCTCTGCCCTCTCTGTGTCTCTCATAAATAAATAAAATCTTAAAAAAAAAAACTTTTTAAAAAGTGTTGAATAAAATATGCAACTTCTTGAATACTGTATTAAAAGTGAAAAACAAGATAATTGTATGGGTACAGAATTGTTCTAAGTGTATTGGTTGTTTACCCTCACAGTGACATGTCTGACTGGGAGCTGTGACTGCTACTGCCCAGAATCACAAGAGTACTATACTACATCACTAGCCTGGGAAAAGATCAAAATTCAAAATCTGAATTACGCTTTCTATTGAATGTGTAAAAGCCAAAAAAATTGCAAGTCAAACCGTTGTAAATTGGGGACCATCTGTATACTAGCAATGCACAAGTGGAAGTTGACAAAACCCTGATAAAGGAAATCAAAGAACTAAATAATGAAAGATATTCCACATTCATGGGTAGGAAGACTTGATATTGCCAAAATGTCAGTTCTTCCCAACTTGGTCTTTAAATTCAACTCAATCCGGGATCCCTGGGTGGCGCAGCGGTTTGGCGCCTGCCTTTGGCCTAGGGCGCGATCCTGGAGACCCAGGATCGAATCCCACGTCGGGCTCCCGGTGCATGGAGCCTGCTTCTCCCTCTGCCTGTGTCTCTGCGCCTCTCTCTCTCTCTCTGACTATCATAAATAAATAAAAATTAAAAAAAAAATAAAATAAAATAAATTCAACTCAATCCCATTCAAAATCTCAAGTTTTTTTTCTTTTTTTAAGATCTTATTTATTAAAAAAAAAAAAAAAAGATCTTATTTATTCATGAGACATAGAATAATCAGAGACATAGCAGAGGGAGAAGCAGAGCTCCCTACAGGGAGCCTGACACAGGACTCAATCCCAGGAACCCAAGACCTGAGCCAAAGGCAGACATTCAACCAAGCCACCCAGGCGCCCCTCAGCAAGTTATTTTGTGGATAACAAGGTGACTCTGAAGTTTATGTGGAGAGGCAAAAGAGCCAGAATAGCCAGTCTACCATAAGAACACAGCATTATGAGAACTGATACTACCTGACTTCAAGACTTACTATAAAGCTATAGTAATCAAGACAGTGTATACAGTACTGGTGAAAAAAGAAGTATATCAATGGAAGAGAACAGAAAATCCAGAAACAGACCCAGATAAATATAGTCAACTGATTTTTGACATGAAAGCAAGGGCCATAAAATGGAGAAAAGGTAATCTGTTAATAAACAGTGCTAGAACAATTGCTGGACAACCACATGCAAAAAAAAAAAAAAGTGAAATGAGAAAGCTCTCTTGAAAGGTTACTGTGAAGGTCACCTATGACAAAAACAAAAACTGTCCAGCAGATTCAATGGATTTCAATATTCTTAAGGACCCACCTCCACAAGTTTCATATAGAGGGTACAGTAATTCATGTCAGTCACCTCAGTCCTGCCAATTCACTGGGTAGGATGCAGTATCAGCACATTGGCCTCAGGGAGCTCTGCAGCCCTTCAACTTTGTGGATGATGTTTCCCATAATCCTGTGCTTCTCTCTGGCTGAAAACAGGCTCCTCCTGCAGAAGCCAGACCTAACTCTCATTTGAATGTCTGTATTAAACATAAAGCCTTTTCATAAAAAGGGTGGAAAAAAGACTATCAAAACACTATGACAGGCTCCCTGCTCAGCAGCAGGGAGTCTGCTTCTCCCTCTGTCCCTCCCCACCCCCATGCTCATTCTCTCTTAAATGATTATTCTTTTCTAAAGAGACACTGTGAGATACCCAGGAATAAATAAATAAATAAACATATATATATATATATATATATATATACACACAGTAACACAAAATTAGGTAATCTGGCTTACAGATATTTACCTTCATTCCTTCATTTCCATGATTATGAGATCCAAAACTCATTCAATAGAATTGAACTGACTCAAATAGTCTTTCCCTTATACCAATTCTCATAGATGAACATCCAAATTCAGACTCTATTTTAGAGTTCAGGACTATCTACTGTAAATTATTGGAGGTTAATCCATTTTAGAGCTCATAACCTAAAATAGAACTCAGATGGTAGAAATCCCTACTTTTCAGGAAGGATACTTTATTATTAGTGCATCATTTAGATTGTCCTACAATAGTCTCATCTGCTGTATTTTCTTAATGGCTACAAATCTTGCTTTTAATTTATAGATGGTGGTTAGTTTAGCTTCAATATTAGTTGCTTATAGTCTCTTTAACCTTATACTGGATAGTTTCCCACATTAGTTTGGGCTTCTTATGTTCCAATAACTAAAGCCATACATATACAAGTCAAATATGAATCATACATAACCCTATCGCTAAGAAACATGAAGCTTCTCATCCCCCAAAATCCTACCAAAGTTCTTGGTTCTTTTTCCACTGAAAAGTGAGAACATGGGATGCCTGGAAGGCTCAGTGGTTGAGCGTCTGCCTTTGACTCAGGGCATGATCCTGGGGTCCAGGATCAAGTCCCACATCGGGCTCCCTGCCTGCTTCTCCCTCTGCCTATATCTCTGCCTCTCCATCTCTCGTGAATAAATAAATAAAAATCTTTAAAAAGTGAGAACATGTCAGCTAATGAAGAATGTGAGGTCTTGGTGCTTCAGCTCCCCCCGCCCCAAGTTTGAGAGCCACTGACCTCCAGGAAGGTCACCCTTCCCAGTTCCTGGATCTCCATGCTATGGCAGAGGCCATCTTCCCACCAAATTCAGCATGATGTCACAAAAACAGTGAGCTGGTTAGCAACTGTCCACTCTCCAGCCATCTTGTTTCCTGAGATATATTTTTCTGAAGGCCTAACTTTCTCCCAAATGACCAAAACTGGGACCATCTACTCCCTTCTGAGCCACCTCTACACGTGAGGACGTAACTATACACTCCAGCCACAGGACATTTCAGAATATACTGCAAAAAGGTTAACACGTATACACACGGCTCACATCACACATCTGTTTTACTACAGATTTATAGTGAGGGCTCACAAGTTCAACAAAGCTCAAAATCGATTAATAGTGGTCACATTCTTTTCAGAAGCCAAGGGTACAATGACACAACAGTGCTCAAAACTACTAAAGAATGCAAATCCCTACAACATGCAGTGCACAACAGACAAGAAATGTCATTCTGGGCCAGCAAAAAGAGAAACAGGAAATAAAGGGGTCATCATTACTTCAGCCAAGTCAATAGATCTGAGCTTTTCAGGTAGACCTGGGAATGAATTCTCCAGGCTTTCCCACCAACCAGCTGCAGACCTTGAGCATATCTGGCCCAGAGAGGGACTAAGAGACACTTGCTGAATGAGCCCTTCTGATTGCAAATGACATATTAGATAAAGAGCTAGTATCCAAGATCTATAAAGAACTTATTAAAACTCAACAGCAAAGAAACAATCCAATCATGAAATGGGCAAAGACATGAACAGAAATTTCACCAAAGAAGACATACACATGGCCAACAAGCACATGAGAAAATGCTCCGCACCACTGGCCATCAGGGAAATACAAATCAAAACCACGAGATAACCACCTCACACCTGTGAGAACAGTGAAAATTAAGACAGGAAATAACAAATGTTGGAGAGGATGTGGAGAAAGGGGAACCCTCTTGCACTGTTGGTGGGAATGTGAACTGGTGCAGCCACTCTGGAAAACTGTATGGAGGCTCCTCATCAGAGTTAAAAATAGAACTGCCCGACGACCCAGCAGTTGCACTGCTGGGGATTTACCCCAAAGATACAGATGCAGTCAAACGGCAGGATACCTACACCCCAATGTTTAGAGCAGCAATGTCCACAATAGCCAAACTGTGGAAGGAGGCTCCGTGTCCATCGAAAGATGAACAGATAGAGATGCGGTCTCTATATACAATGGAATATTACTTGGCCATCAGAAAGGACAAATACCCACCATTTGCCTCAATCATGCTGAGTGAAGTCAATTGGAGGACAATCATATGGTTTCATTCATTCAGGGAATATAAAAAATAGTGAAAGGGACTATAGGGGAAAGGAGGGAAAATGAGTGGGAAATATCAGTGAGGGGGACAGAACATGAGAGACTCCTAACTCTGTGAAACGAACAAGGGATAGTGGAAGGGGAGGCGGGTGGGGGAATGGGGTGACTGGGTTACAGGCACTGAGAGGGGCACTTGACCGGATGACGCACTGGGTGTTACAGTGTTATGTTGGCAAATTACTCTAACTAAAAAAAATATACGGAAAAAAAAAAAAAAAAAAAAAACAACACCAAAAACCCTTCTGAGCCAGTTTCCAGCACACCAGCAATGTAACTTTTACCTTGCAGAACTGAGAAAGAAGAACATAGTTTTAGAGTGTTATAAAGCAAGTTCTGCCTCAACTGGCAGGAACTTTTTCACATCAGTCTTGGCTAGGGCCAGGTTGGGAGGGAGGTTAAGTTAGGGGCAGGGCCTGGGCAGGGCCAGTCACTGAAGCGAGGCCAAGGCCTGGAGGGAAGGAGCCAGTTCCTGGTGGCTGTTGGGCAGTTCAGACAGCTCCCTGCTACACCAGCCATGGTACTCCCTCTGCCCTGGCTCTCCTGTTGCTGCCGTCGCCTGCTCCTGCCTTCCTGGCCCCTGGCCCCCCAGAGCTCCTGGAGGTGCTGCTCCCAGAGCCCCAAGGCGAGCACAAAAGAGCAGACCAGCTCCACAAGCAGTGGGAAGAGGTCACCCCCAAGGGTAAGTGGCACCAAGAGTAGGGAGGCAGAGGGGTGGAGGAATCCCTTTAATCTTATATTCACAGGCCTGTTCCAAATAGATACCACCCCCAACTCCGAGTCCTTGGACTAGTCCCAGCTCCCAGATCCCCAGCAGTTTCCCCACACCCCCTACACCTCGAGGGCTCTCTCCCCACAGCCCTCCCTCCCTGCAGAGTCCAAGAAGTCCTTGACCAGGAATTTCCCCTCTTCTAACAGTTAATTATTTCTTGGTGGGGGGAGGGACAGCCAGTCCTCTCCTCTCCATATCCTTCCTTGCACAAGGAGTCCAGTTTAACCCCTGAGCCGCAAACTGCCCCCACAGGCCTATGCCTAAGACCAGAAGTTACCCTGGCTTCACAGTACAGAGAACCTTATTAATAAAAGGGGGTTGAAATGTGAGAGGCACAACACCAGACTTCCAGCAAGCCTCAGCTCCCTGCCCTGGCTGATGCTCCCTCCCCTCTGCCCCCCTCATTCAGGGTCCCAGGCCCCGCCCCACAGCTGAGCTGGCCCAAGCTGAGGAGTTGCTGGAGCAGCAGCTGGAGCTGTACCAGGCTCTTCTGGAAGGGCAAGAAGGGGCTTGGGAAGCCCAGGCCCTGGTGCTCAAGATTCAGAAGCTGAAGGAACAGATGAGGAGACACCGGGAGAGCCTAGGAGACGCCTAAGCTTTCCATCAGTTCCCATTTTACCTTCCAACACTGGAAACACTACACACCACCCACACTGGGGCCTTTGGGTCAGAAACATCCCAGCCCCTCCTAGGCCACTAAAAAAAAAAAAAAAGGAAGACACTTTCACAAAGGGCAGAAATTTAAGTAGCAAGGAGCAATGGCTTCTGCAGTCTTAGTCACATCCCCCTCCCCCTCCCCCTCTTTGATCCCTCCCAACTGACCTGAGCCCCACAGCAGGGCACACAGTCCTTATAAGAATGAATATACACTGAATCATGACCTAATCTCACCCCAAACCCAATAAAGGCATGGAGCACTTACAGACAGCACAGACGCATGTGTTTTTTAGTTTTGTTAAAAAAAAAAATTCCGACAATTCAGGAAACAGGGATTCAGGAGTGGTGGTGATGCAAAAGGGGGAAGCCATGGGGTGGGGGGTGGGGGATGTCACGGGTAGGTGGCAGTAGTGTCTCCTTCACCCCATGCCTACTGTCGTCTCCTGAAGAGGGACAGTCACATTCCAAAATGGGTGGGTAAGTCCTCTACCGCGTCTGTTCAACTGGAGAGAAAACATGGCACAATTACAAGACATGGAAAAGGCAAGGCTGGCAGAAAACATGCCCCCACCCCCCGCTACATGCAGATGTCTGTAGTTTGTGGGTGCAAAGGATAGACTGGGGGTAGGGAAAAATAAACTAGCTTGTTAAGAAAAGAGACATACAGGTCAACTAAACATCCCAGCAGGGGCATCAAGATCCAAGGGACATAATAAGTGCCTGTTACACACTAGAGGCTCTTTATGTACATGATGGGATTTAAGACAAACACACTAAGGAACAAGGAGACTGAAGAGTTGAGCCAGTTTCTTAAGATCCATACTCACTGTAAGAGGAAATGTCTATCTCATCTGGCAGCTCACTAATATTGACTTCAAAGCGATCCTGCACATCATTGAGGATCTTGGCATCATTTTCATCTGATACAAATGTGATGGCCAAGCCCTTGGTGCCAAACCGGCCTGCTCGGGCCACCTGGAAGGAGACAGAGGATAGTCCTGGGAGATCCCGAAGTAGGAAGACATCCAAAAAGAAGGGAGAGGCTATCAGGTATGAAGATACAAAATCAGGGGGAGGAGACACTGGAATGCACGTGTGGGTGTGGAGCTTACCCGATGCAGGTAAGTGTCAGAATCCTCAGGCATGTCATAGTTGAAGGCAATGTTCACCCGCTCAATGTCCATGCCTCGGCCAAATAGGTTGGTAGCCACAAGAATTCGTCGTTGAAAATCTTTAAACTGCTGATACCGAGAAAGCCTTCGTGAGAAAGGAAATTAGAAAAATACTGAGTCCCTTCGCTTCAACGGTCTCTTTTCCTTCCCAAGGACACAAAACATCTTTTCATTTCTGATTTACCTCTCCTCCTGGGGCATCCCTCGGTGGATGGCAATGGCTGGGAAGTTCTGCTCTACCAGCAGCTGGGCGAGGGCAATGCAACGCTGCACAGACTTCACAAAGATCACCACCTGGGTGTGTGACAGTTGGGGGACATGGGTCCATGTGGGATAAGTGAGAGATTAAGTGTGAGAAGAGTTTTCAGTAACTACTCTTTTACTCTTCCTGAAACTTCTCCAATCCCCATTACATATTCCTCTTCTGTTCTAAATACAACTTAGCCTTTCTCACTCAGTTCTGATTTTTCCTGAGCAGACATGCTGAAGAGAAGGTACAGAGAAAAGTAACTAAAACTACCAGATAATGTTAGGGAGACAAGGATGAAGCTAATGGTAAAAATGAAAGTGGTAAAAATTTAAAGTGTGGAGAGTAGTTTCTGCTCATCAAAAACATCAAACATATGCAATTTACCTTAATTTTAGAAAGTTTTTGGTGCAAACGAACCACAGCAGGTAAAGTAGTGGAACATTTCTTCTCAGTAAACAGTACAAGAAAAAACAAATTTTAAAAACCTTTAAGAAACCCAAGATATTTTGGAATTTTTACAAGTTTATGAAATCCTCTCAAGGATTTTCTTTGAGATTTTTCTTTACTCAATACCTGGCTGTGACAGCCAAAGAACAGAACAGCAGCTCCCATCTTGTTCACCAGCACCAAAGGCACTTAAATTCTCATTTAAAAGAATTTCAAAAAAATAAAAATAAAAAATAAAAAATAAAAAAAATAAAAGAATTTCATTTGAAGGTAATTTCCCCACTGTTCTCGCTCACATCACCTATGTCATATCCTCAATAAAAAGGTACTTAACCAGGTTTCTGCTACAGTTGGAGACGTGCTCATCCCCCTACTGGACTTTGAACAACTGACCTGATTGAACTCAAGGACATCGAGAAGGTCAAAGAGCTTCCGGTTCTTCTCGTTGTCCTTCAGTTTCACGTAGTACTGCTGCAACCCATGCAGCGTCAGCTTCGTCTCATCATCCACGAAGATCTCCATTGGCTGGGGGAGGGAGGGGGGAGTAGGGGGGGAACGGGAGGAGGGCAGAGTGGGGGGGTTAAACCTGGGGGGGTGGAGGAACTTGATCTCCAATACACCCCATTGGGGGATGGGAAAAGAGAAGACTGAAAACCCCACCACACCCCCAAAAATACCCTCATTTTAATGTGGTCTCTTCCACGTTAGCTCTAATTTCCTTCCTATCAGTTGTTTTAAGATTGCCCAAGTATCACGGGAAGGTAACCTGGCAAGGAGTTTGAAAAGGAGCAGTGAGACCACCCAATGGCAAGATGCCATGACCTCAAAAGGAGGTAGCAGAGGAAAGAAAACAATGGGAGAGGATCCCCAAAGGGAAAATGTAATCCAAACACCTGGGAATTGGTGGGACATTGGTGACTCGAGGTCAGGAATTCCACCACAATTGGTTGTAAAAATAGAGGGGAAGACAGGGATTGCTCCATTTGAGTATTCTCCCAACTAAGAGAATCAGGGGGCACCTGGGTGGCTCAATTGGTTAAGCGTCTGCCTTCGGCTCAGGTCATGATCTCAGGGTCCTAGGATCAAGCTCCGAGTCAGGCTCCCTCCTCAGTGGGGGGTCTGCTTCTCCCTCTCCCTCTGCTCCTCCACCTGCTTGTGCTTGCTCTCTCTCAAATCAATACATAAAATATTAAGGAAAAAACCAAACAACTAAGAGAATCAGATCCACATCAGGAGGGTGGATTATCTGTTAAGATCAGAATGCTAAAATGAACAGTCAAAAATACCATGAAAAGTTACTCAGGATGAGTAACCACTCGCCCTCAGACCACAAGGGAATAGTTCAGATGGCACTGGTCTCTGAACTAGGAGTCAAATCAACTATAGTGTTACATGGACAGTACCAATAAATGGTGTTAAGAAACAAATTCAGAGCAGCAGATATACAACCATCTTGTAATACACACACACACACACACACACATAAAACCCTTTAAGGGGAGGAAGATAGCATAAAAAAACAAACTGACACAAGACTTAACTCCTGAGTCCAAGTTTCCTAGCACTCTTCACTAACCTGGGGACATAATTAACATGAACACCCAGGGCCCAAGGTTTCAGGAAAGGATGAGTGGCACGGGAGAGAACCAGAAGCCCAATCCCAGAAAGCAGGCTTGCAAAAGCAGGCTTTTCAAAATGAAGCTTCATGGCCTCCTTCAAATCTAGCCCCAAGTATAACTAAAGGTAACTGACATCCCATGGGAAGGAGCAGTACAGGATGAGAAAGAATACACTGCACTGTTTATACAATAGGGCCCATCTAGTGCCAAACCCAAACACCCACCTGGTTACATCCAAGTGGAGCTCCTCACATTACTTTTCCCATATCCCTCTCCTTGGAGTATTAAAAAACTGTTTTAAAAAAGAAAAAAAAACTACCCCCCGTTTCAGGACACCCCTCCCCCCAACACATATGGGCAAAAACAGGGAGCACGGCACGCCTTGGATTCAGGAAAAAAACCGGGAACAGAAAAAGAGGCTGGTTTGGTCCTCAGCTTCCTGGTCAGGTTTCCCCGCGGCCTCCGCTGCCGCCATCCACCGCTGGGTGCCGTCTGCATTTCCCCCGCCGTTCCATGGTGCTTCTCCGCTGCCGGCTCACATCAGCCGAGATTCCGGATGGGTGCGAGGAGGTATGGACGGAAGGAGTAAGGGATCCGGGGACTGAGGTGCCAAAGGCCCCCACCCCTGGAGGTGGGGAGGGAGCGGATTCATTTGTGCTGTTTGCTCTTCTTTTGGACATGCCCTGCCATCTGTCTGTCCCTCTCTTGCTCTCCTGCCACCGGGGGGTTGAGTTTTGGGGAGCAGAAGGCTCCAACTGTCTGCTCGATGCCACCTTGAGGGTGCGTGGCTGTAAAGGGGTATGTAGGAGACGATGGGTGGGTAGTAGGGCAGAAAATCCTGCCCTCCCCCAAAAAGGAAGAAGAGGTTCAAAAATGCTGTGATGAAAAAAAAAAAAAAAAGGTCGAACACTACCCGCTCTCAAGTTAACCCGACCAAGTCTTCCGGAGTTTCCCTGGCGCCCGCGCAGACCCTAACACTAGCTGTCTCTGCCTCTGTGTGTCTCTTCAAGGAGTCATCACTCCCAGATGGGCACGTGCCCCCTTCTTGGCATTTGAAGGACAAGGGAGTCTGGAGGAAGAGGGCGCAGAAGGGGAGGAGGCAGTGGGCGGGGAGTGGAGGGAGAGAAGGTAGAAGGGTATTTACGTCTTGCATGAACTTGCGGCAGACAGGACGGATCTCTTTGCTCAAGGTAGCACTGAACATCATGACCTGCTTCTCATGGGGGGTCATGCGAAAAATTTCCTGGACATCCCGACGCATGTCTACAAGAAAAAGGAAAAAAATCCTAGAAGGAAAGAAGGAAATGTCATAGACAAAGACCGGAGACAGCCTCCCCAATGAGGTAAAACTGCTGGAAACGGGTAAGCAAGAGCCATTTCCCACAAAGATTTGTCTCAGGTACTCTATTTACACGAACCACCATAAAATCACATCCACTGCAGTAACACATGGAAAATTTGAAATAAAGACCTAGGACCAAATTCCAGCACTATGTGTTTTAGCCAGGCAAGAAAATAATGAAACGCCAAATCTCACAAGTATGATATGGAGATGAAGTCCACTGCAGAGGCTCACAAACCTAAGACCCTTGAGAGATGCTTTACAAGGCCCTTCTCCCTACTTTCTCCCCACA